ACGGATGATCTATGATCAAGAATATCCTACCAACGGGACATTAACTGTAATATCTTAAGTTTCACAGAGTCGTGGCTGAACGACGACATGGATAATATAGAGCTGGCGGGATTTTCCATGCATCGGCAGGACAGAGAAGCTACGTCTGGTAAGACGAGGCGCGGGAGTGTGTGTCTATTTGTCAATAATAGCTGGTGCCCGATGTCTAATATTAAAGAAGTCTTGAGGTATTGCTCGCCTGAGGTAGAGTACCCTAGTTGCCGGGGTCTTTAATGCAGGCAAACTTAAATCAATTTTACCTCATTTCTACCAGCATGTCACTTGTGCAACCAGAGGGGCAAAAAACTAGACCACCTTTGCTCCACACAGAGACTCCTACAAAGCTCTCCCTCGCCCTCCATTTGGCAAATCTGACCATAATTCTATCCTCCTGATTTCTGCTTACATGCAAAAACTAAAGCAGGAAGTACCAGTGACTCGCTCAATACGGAAGTGGTCAGATGACGCGGATGCTACGCTACAGGACTGTTTTGCTAGCACAGACTGGAATATGATACGGGATTCATCCAATGGCTTTGAGGAGTATACCACCTCAGTCATCGGCTTCATCAATAAGTGCATCGCTAAGGTTCCTGGGACTAAACACCTCCCTCTGCAACTGGATCCTGGACTTCCTGACAGGTCGCACCCAGGTGGTAAGGGTAGGCAACAACACGTCTGCCACGCTGATCCTCAACACTGGGGCCCCTCAGGGGTGCGTGCTTAGTCCCCTCCTGTACTCCCTGTTCACCTACGACTCCGTGGCCAAACACGACTCCAACACCATTAAGTTTGCTGACGACACAACAGTGGTAGGCCTGATCACCGACGACGATGAGACAGCCGATAGGGAGGGGGTCAGAGACCTGGCAGTGTGGTGCCAGGACAACCTCTCCCTCAATGTGAGCAAGACAAAGGAGCTGATCGTGGACTACAGGAAAAGGCGGCCTGAACAGGTCCCCATTAACATCGACAGGGCTGTAGTGGAGCGGGTCGAGAGTTTCAAGTTCCTTGGTGTCCACACCACCAACGAACTATCATGGTCCAAACACACCAAGACAGTCGTGAAGAGGGCACGACAACACCTTTTCCCCCTCAGGAGACTGAAAAGATTTGGCATGGGTCCCCAGATCCTCAAAGTTATACAGCTGCACCATCGAGAGCATCCTGAAGGCGCTACGGAGGGTAGTGCGTTCGGCCCGGTACATCACTGGGGCCAAGCCTCCTGCCATCCAGGACCTATATAGTAGGCGGTGTCAGAGGAAAGCCCAAAAAATGGTCAAAGACTCCAGTCACCCAAGTCATAGACTGTTCTCTTTGCTACTGCACGGCAAGCGGTACCGGAGCGCCAAGTCTAGGACCAAAAGGCTCCTTAACAGCTTCTACCCCCAAGCCATAAGACTGCTGAACAATTAATCAAATTGACCCCCCCCCCCTTTACCCCTACCTACATGTACAAATTACCTCGACTAACCTGTACCCCCGCACATTGACTCGGTACCTGTACCCCCTGTATATAGCCTCGTTATTGTTATTTTATTGTTACTTTTTATTATTTTTAACTTTAGTTTATTTGGTACATCTTTTCTTAACTCTTTCTTGAGCTGCGTTGTTAGTTAAGGGCTTGTAAGTAAGCATTTCACGGTAAGGTCTACACCTGTTGTATTCGGCGCATGTGACAAATAAAGTTTTTGATTTGAAATTTCACAAATTAACTTTTAAGAAGGCACACCTGTAATTGAAATGCAAGTGACTACCTCATGAAGCTGTTTCAGAGAATGCCAAGAATGTGCAAAGCTGTCATCAAGGCAAAGAGTGGCTATTTGAATAATCTCAAATATATATTTTGATTTGTTTTAACACTTTTTTTCGGTTACTACATGATTCCATGTGTTATTTCATAGTTTGTCTTCACTATTTTTCTACAATGTAGAAAATAGTAAAAATAAAGAAGAACCCTTGAATGAGTAGGTGTTCTAAAACTTTTGACCGTGTGTGTGTGTATATATATACATACATACATACATACATACATACATACATACATACATACATACATACATACATACATACATACATACATACATACATACATACATACATACATACATACATACATACAGTGGGGGAAAAAAAGTATTTAGTCATCCACCAATTGTGCAAGTTCTCCCACTTAAAAAGATGAGAGGCCTGTAATTTTCATAATAGGTACACGTCAACTATGGCAGACAAAATGAGATTTTTTTCCAGAAAATCACATTGTAGGATTTTTTATGAATTTATTTGCAAATTATGGTGGAAAAATAAGTATTTGGTCAATAAAAGTTTCTCAATACTTTGTTATATACCCTTTGTTGGCAATGACACAGGTCAAACGTTTTCTGTAAGTCTTCACAAGGTTTTCACACACTGTTGCTGGTATTTTGGCCCATTCCTCCATGCAGATCTCCTCTAGAGCAGTGATGTTTTGGGGCTGTTGCTGGGCAACACGGACTTTCAACACCCTCCAAAGATTTTCTATGGGGTTGAGATCTGGAGACTGGCTAGGCCACTCCAGGACCTTGAAATGCTTCTTACGAAGCCACTCCTTCGTTGCCCGGGCGGTGTGTTTGGGATCATTGTCATGCTGAAAGACCCAGCCACGTTTCATCTTCAATGCCCTTGCTGATGGAAGGAGGTTTTCACTCAAAATCTCACGATACATGGCCCCATTCATTCTTTCCTTTACACGGATCAGTCGTCCTGGTCCCTTTGCAGAAAAACAGCCCCAAAGCATGATGTTTCCACCCCCATGCTTCACAGTAGGTATGGTGTTCTTTGGATGCAACTCAGCATTCTTTGTCCTCCAAACACGACGAGTTGAGTTTTTACCAAAAAGTTCTATTTTGGTTTCATCTGACCATATGACATTCTCCCAATCCTCATCTGGATCATCCAAATGCACTCTAGCAAACTTCAGACGGGCCTGGACATGTACTGGCTTAAGCAGGGGGACACGTCTGGCACTGCAGGATTTGAGTCCCTGGCGGCGTAGTGTGTTACTGATGGTAGGCTTTGTTACTTTGGTCCCAGCTCTCTGCAGGTCATTCACTAGGTCCCCCCGTGTGGTTCTGGGATTTTTGCTCACCGTTCTTGTGATCATTTTGACCCCACGGGGTGAGATCTTGCGTGGAGCCCCAGATCGAGGGAGATTATCAGTGGTCTTGTATGTCTTCCATTTCCTAATAATTGCTCCCACAGTTGATTTCTTCAAACCAAGCTGCTTACCTATTGCAGATTCAGTCTTCCCAGCCTGGTGCAGGTCTACAATTTTGTTTCTGGTGTCCTTTGACAGCTCTTTGGTCTTGGCCATAGTGGAGTTTGGAGTGCGACTGTTTGAGGTTGTGGACAGGTGTCTTTTATACTGATAACAAGTTCAAACAGGTGCCATTAATACAGGTAACGAGTGGAGGACAGAGGAGCCTCTTAAAGAAGAAGTTACAGGTCTGTGAGAGCCAGAAATCTTGCTTGTTTGTAGGTGACCAAATACTTATTTTCCACCATAATTAGCAAATAAATTCATAAAAAATCCTGCAATGTGATTTTCTGGAGAAAAAAAAATCTCTATTTGTCTGTCATAGTTGACGTGTACCTATGATGAAAATTACAGGCCTCATCTTTTTAAGTGTGAGAACTTGCACAATTGGTGGCTGACTAAATACTTTTTTTCTCCACTATATATATATATATATCTCTATCCTGTGAGTGTGCATAGTCAGTGCAAGATAAGATCAATGCAGGTAGTCCGGGTAACAATTTAATGAACTATTTAGCAATCTTATGGCTATTTAGCTTCTACCCCCAAGCCATTAGACTGCTGTCTTGGAGCCTGTTGGTCAGAGAGACGATTCTCCGGTACTGTTTGCCGGACGGTAGCAGAGAGGACAGTCTATGGCTTGGGTGGCTGGAGTCTTTGCCAATTTTTCGTTCCTTCCTCTGACACCGCCTGATATACAGGTCCTCGATGGCAGGGAACTCTGCCCCCTTGATGTACTGGGATGTCCGGACCACCCTCTGTTGTGCTTTGTGGTTGAGGGCTGTGCGTTTGCCATACCAAGCGGTGATGCAGCCAGTCAAGATGCTCTCGGGTGCAGCTGTATAACTTTTTGAGGATCTGAGGGCCCATGCCAAATCTTTTCAGCCTCCTGAGGGGGAAGAGGCGCTGTTGTGCCCTGTTCACGACCGTGCAGGGGTGTGTGGACCATGTTAAGTCCTTAGTGATGTGGACGCCAATAAACTTTAAGCTCTCGACCCGCTCCACTACAGCCCTGTCAATGTGGATGGTGGCGTGCTCTCCCCTCATTCTCCTGTAGTCCACGATCAGCTCTTTGGTCTTACTGACGTTGAGACGGAGATGGTGGTTGTCCTGGCACCACACTGCTAAGTCTCTGACCTCCTCCCTGTTGGCTGTCTCATTGCTGTCGGTGATCAGGTCTAGCACAGTCGTGTCGTCAGCAAACTTCATGATGGTGTTGGAGTCATGTGTGGCCACACAGTTGTGGATGAAAAGGGAGTACAGGAGGGGACTAAGTGCACACCCCTGAGGGGTCCGGGTTGAAGGTCAGCGTGGTGGAGATTTTGTTGCCTACCCTCACCACCTGGGGCCGGCCTATCAGGAAGTGCAGGATCCAGTTGCATCTCTGATAGGAGACTCTCAAACTAAACTCTTCCATCTTATTCTCGAGTGACTGGACATTTGCCAATAGAACAGAGGGGAGTGCCAGTTTTTTTTCCTCTTCGTCTCAGTCTGGTCAGGATGCCGGCCTGTCTGCCGTGTCTATGCCTGCCGTGTTTTAATAGCCCATGAAACAAAGGAATGGTGTCCTGTATGAACAAGGGAACAGCTGAATCTAAGTTAAAGACTGACAGAAGAAAAGAGGGACAGAGAATGAAGAAATAAAAGTTGTATCCTGTTTTGATTGATTGTTTATTGGTTTTGTATTTCAGCACAAACCCGATGGTCCCCAAAAGTTGGATCCCCATCCCATGATGAATTTCAAGGTAATTGACTAGAACCCTATTACCAAGGGTATCCTAATTTCTTCTTCAAAGTAAATAACATCTGAATGCATGTATATGAAAAATGCTGAAGGCTATTGAGTCTATATCTATTCCGCTTACTCAATTAAGAGCAGCATTTCCCACATGTGAACATAGGCAGTTCATTTGTAATATTCTCTTCACGTCTCCATGAAAAGCTCCCATAACTGAATGTAAATCTTTTGTTTTTCAGATTGACAGCGGAGAATTGCAGGTAACAATACCCAGCCATCTCTAATAATACTCCTCCAATCCTTACCTTAATGTTAATTCAATATGCAATGGAAACAATTAATATAATTGAATAAAGACCCAAGGAGAGGGCAGAACAGATCTTTTTCATTATTCCCACAGAACTCCTCTCAATACAGTGATCCCGAAGACTTCTCTGTGAATGTCGATATAGATGATGATGATGAAGAGTTTGATGGTGATGATGCTGACTATGAGGTGAGCTCTGCTTCAAGAAATAAGTCCTAACCCACTTCTATCTATGAGTTCCTTCTGCTGGCCAATTACACCCCCCCCCCCAATATAAAAACCATGCTCTTCCTAGGGTGGTCTCCATCTGAAGTTGGTCACAGTTTGGGCCAACGAGCTGCTCTCTGTCAACTGAATATCTAGACAGTGACATGTACTTGTTGTATTTTACAGTTAATGGTATTAGTTCAAATAATATTTTTTTCTTCCTAATTTCCATATTTTCTCATTATTCTGTCTTTTCAGGCTTGGATGAGGAAACGTAAGCGACGTTCCTGTGGGAAGTGTGAAGCTTGTAATAGTAGGATGGACTGTGGCACTTGTGATTTCTGCGTAGACAAACCAAAGTTTGGAGGCAGCAATAAGAAGAGACAGAAGTGCCGTCTGCGGCAGTGCCAGAGACAGGCCATGGTAAGGGTTGATTGCTCACCTATGTTGAGATGATTGTCAATTATATGAGCATTTGAGGGTGACAAGATTTTTTGCAAATACTGTTTGAATTAGTCCTTGTAATTAAGCTATGGCCATACTCATTGTTATGCCATGAATGGACTCCTAACAATGTTTTCAATGGTGCTCTTATGTGTATGTATGTGTTTGACAGAGACACTTGTTGCCCTTTCAGTTGGGTCAGACTGATTTTGGGTCCGAAGAGGGGTGGGTGCAGCTTGGCAGGCCTAGACCTCACTTTACATACAGTCGCAAGACTACCCCAAAGAAAAGTAAAACACAGCAGCAGGAAGTGGACCTGGAGTTCACTGACGATATAGACGAGCCTCTGCAGGAAGAAGAAGAAGATGATCACTCCATGGAAACAGTGAGTTCTGCAATGTGGAGATAACAACATAGGGAAAGGCTGTGTTAAAATATATGTATTATTGTTGTCCCATCTCAACGTCACATTATTGTGATTGTCTTGAGTACAGAATTCCATGCAAATACTGATACTTTTGGTCATGTAGTGTATGTATGTGGACACTTGCTTGTCGAACATCTCATTCCAAAATCATGGGCATTAATATGGAGTTGGTCCCCCCGTTGCTGCTATAACAGACTCCACTCTTCCGGGAAGGCTTTCCACTAGATACTGGAACATTGCTGCGGGGACTTGCTTCCATTCAGCCACAAGAGCATTAGTGAGGTCAGGCACTGATGTTGGGCGATTAGGCCTTGCTCGCAGTAGGCGTTCCAATTCTTCCCAAAGGTGTTTGATGGGGTTGAGGTCAGGGCCCTTTGCAGGCCAGTCAAGTTCTTCCACACCAATCTCGACAAACCATTTCTGTATGGACCTCGCTTTGTGCACAGGGGCATTGTCATGCTGAAACAGGAAAGGGCCTTCCCCAAACTGTTGCCACAAAGTTGGAAGCACAGAATCGTCAAGAATATAATTGTATGCTGTAGCGTTAAGATTTCCCTTCACTGGAACTAAGGGGCCTAGCCCGAACCATGAAAAACAACCACAGACCATTATTCTTCCTCCACCAAACTTTAAAGTTGGCACCAGGCATTGGGGCAGGTAGCGTTCTCCTGACTTCTGCCAAACCCAGATTTGTCCGTCGGACTGCCAGATGGTGAAGAGTTATTCATCACTCCAGAGAACGCGTTTGCACTGCTCCAGAGTCCAATGGCGGCAAGCTTTACACCACTCCAGCCGACGCTTGGCATTGCGCATCGTGATCTTAGGCTTGTGTGCAACTGCGCGGCCATGGAAAACCCATTGGTTAAGCTCCCGATTAACAGTTATTGTGCTGACGTTGCTTCCAGAGGTAGTTTGGAACTCTGTAGTGAGTGTTGCAACCAAGGACAGATGATATTTATGCTATACATGCTTCAGCACTCAGTTTTCCCGTTCTTTGAGCTTGTGTGACATTTTACGAACTGACTTGTTGGAAAGGTGGCATCCAATGACGGTGCCACTTTGAAAGTCACTAAGCTCTTCAGTAAGGCCATTCTACTGCCAATGTTTGTCTATGGAGATTGCATGGCTGTGTGCTCGATTTTATACACGTCAGCAACAGGTGTGGCTGAAATAGCCAAATCTAATAATTTGAAGGGGTGTCCACATACAGTGAGGGGGAAAAACGTATTTGATCCCCTGCTGATTTTGTACGTTTGCCCACTGACAAAGACATGATCAGTCTATAATTTTAATGGTAGGTTTATTTGAACAGTGAGAGACAGAATAACAACAAAACAATCCAGAAAAACGCATGTCAAAAATGTTAAATTGATTTGCATTTTAATGAGGGAAATAAGTATTTGACCCCTCTGCAAAACATGACTTAGTACTTGGTGGCAAAACCCTTGTTGGCAATCACAGAGGTCAGACGTTTCTTGTAGTTGGCCACCAGGTTTGCACACATCTCAGGAGGAATTTTGTCCCTCTCCTCTTTGCAGATCTTCTCCAAGTCATTAAGGTTTCGAGCCTGACGTTTGGCAACTCGAACCTTCAGCTCCCTCCACAGATTTTCTATGGGATTAAGGTCTGGAGACTGGCTAGGCCACTCCAGGACCTTAATGTGCTTCTTCTTGAGCCACTCCTTTGTTGCCTTGGCTGTGTGTTTTGGGTCATTGTCATGCTGGAATACCCATCCACGACCCATTTTCAATGCCCTGGCTGAGGGAAGGAGGTTCTCTCCCAAGATTTGACGGTACATGGCGCCGTCCATCGTCCCTTTGATGCGGTGAAGTTGTCCTCTCCCCTTAGCAGAAAAACACCCCCAAAGCATAATATTTCCACCTCCATGTTTGACGGTGGGGATGGTGTTCTTGGGGTCATAGGCAGCATTCCTCCTCCTCCAAACACGGCGAGTTGAGTTGATGCCAATGAGCTCCATTTTGGTCTCATCTGACCACAACACTTTCACCCAGTTCTCCTCTGAATCATTCAGATGTTCATTGGCGAGATCTTGCATGGAGCCCCAGGCCGAGGGAGATTGACAGTTATTTTGTGTTTCTTCCATTTGCGAATAATCGCACCAACTGTTGTCACCTTCTCACCAAGCTGCTTGGCGATGGTCTTGTAGCCCATTCCAGCCTTGTGTAGGTCTACAATCTTGTCCCTGACATCCTTGGAGAGCTATTTGGTCTTGGCCATGGTGGAGAGTTTGGAATCTGATTGATTGATTGCTTCTGTGGACAGGTGTCTTTTATCCAGGTAACAAACTGAGATTAGGAGCACTCCCCTTAAGAGTGTGCTCCTAATCTCAGCTCGTTACCTGTATAAAAGACACCTGGGAGCCAGAAATCTTTCTGATTGAGAGGGGGTCAAATACTTATTTCCCTCATTTAAAATGCAAATCAATTTATAACATTTTTGACATGCGTTTTTCTGGATTTTTTTTGTTATTCTGTCTCTCACTGTTCAAATAAACCTACCATTAAAATGATAGACTGACCATGTCTTTGTCAGTGGGTAAATGTACAAAATCAGCAGGGGATCAAATACTTTTTTCCCTCACTGTGTGTGTGTGTATATGTGTATGTACACTGCTCAAAAATTTTGCAGCGCCCGCAAGGTCCCCCTGCTCAAGAAAGCACATATATATATGCCCGTCTGAAGTTTGCCAATGAACATCTGAATGATTCAGAGGAGAACTGGGTGAAAGTGTTGTGGTCAGATGAGACCAAAATGGAGCTCTTTGGCATCAACTCAACTCGACATGTTTGGAGGAGGAGGAATGCTGCCTATGACCCCAAGAACACCATCCCCACCGTGAAACATCGAGGTGGAAACATTATGCTTTGGGGGTGTTTTTCTGCTAAGGGGACAGGACAACTTCACCGCATCAAAGGGACGATGGACGGGGCCATGTACCGTCAAATCTTGGGTGAGAACCTCCTTCCCTCAGCCAGGGCATTGAAAATGGGTTGTGGATGGGTATTCCAGCATGACAATGACCCAAAACTCACGGCCAAGGCAGCAATGGAGTGGCTCAAGAAGAAGCACATTAAGGTCCTGGAGTGGCCTAGCCAGTCTCCAGACCTTAATCCCATAGAAAATCTGTGGAGGGAGCTGAAGGTTTGAGTTGCTAAACGTCAGGCTCGAAACCTTAATGACTTGGAGAAGATCTGCAAAGAGGAGTGGGACAAAATCCCTCCTGAGATGTGTGCAAACCTGGTGGCCAACTACAAGAAACGTCTGACCTCTGTGATTGCCACCAAGTACTAAGTCATGTTTTGCAGAGGGGTCAAATACTTATTTCCCTCATTAAAATGCAAATCAATTTATAACATTTTTCACATGCGTTTTTCTGGATTTTTTTGTTGTTATTCTGTCTCTCACTGTTCAAATAAACCTACCATTAAAATTATAGACTGATCATTTCTTTGTCAGTGGGCAAACGTACAAAATCAGCAGGGGATCAAATACTTTTTTTCCCTCACTGTATACACCACTATGACAGACAAATTGAGAAAAAAAAATCCTGAAAATCACATTGTAGGATTTTGAATTAATTAATTTGCAAATTATGGTGCAAAATAAGTATTTGGTCACCTACAAACAAGCAAGATTTCTGGCTCTCACAGATGTGTAACTTCTTCTTTAAGAGGCTCCTCTGTCCTCCACTCGTTACCTGTATTAATGGCACCTGTTTCAGTATAAAAGACACCTATCCACAACCTCAAACAGTCACACTCCAAACTCCACTATGGCCAAGACCAAAGAGCTGTCAAAGGACACCAGAAACAAAATTGTAGACCTGCACCAGGCTGGGAAGACTGAATCTGCAATAGGTAAGCAGCTTGGTTTGAAGAAATCAACTGTGGGAGCAATTTTTAGGAAATGGAAGACATACAAGACCACTGATAATCTCCCTCGATCTGGGGCTCCACGCAAGATCTCACCCCGTGGGGTCAAAATGATCACAAGAACGGTGAGCAAAAATCCCAGAACCACACGGGGGGACCTAGTGAATGACCTGCAGAGAGCTGGGACCAAAGTAACAAAGCCTACCATCAGTAACACACTACGCCGCCAGGGACTCAAATCCTGCAGTGCCAGACGTGTCCCCCTGCTTAAGCCAGTACATGTCCAGGCCCGTCTAAAGTTTGCTAGAGTGCATTTGGATGATCCAGAAGAGGATTGGGAGAATGTCATATGGTCAGATGAAACCAAAATATTACTTTTTGGTATAACCTCAACTCGTCGTGTTTGGAGGACAAATAATGCTGAGTTGCATCCAAAGAACACCATACCTACTGTGAAGAATGGGGGTGGAAACATCATGCTTTGGGGCTGTTTTTCTGCAAAGGAACCAGGACGACTGATCCGTATAAAGGAAAGAATGAATGGGGCCATGTATCGTGAGATTTTGAGTGAAAACCTCCTTCCATCAGCAAGGGCATTGAAGATGAAACGTGGCTGGGTCTTTCAGCATGACAATGATCCCAAACACACCGCCCGGGCAACGAAGGAGTGGCTTCGTAAGAAGCATTTCAAGGTCCTGGAGTGGCCTAGCCAGTCTCCAGATCTCAACCCCATAGAAAATCTTTGGAGGGAGTTGAAAGTCCGTGTTGCCCAGCGACAGCCCCAAAACATCACTGCTCTAGAGGAGATCTGCATGGAGGAATGGGCCAAAATACCAGCAACAGTGTGAAAACCTTGTGAAGACTTACAGAAAACGTTTGACCTGTGTCATTGCCAACAAAGGGTATATAACAAAGTATTGAGAAACTTTTATTGACCAAATACTTATTTTCCACCATAATTTGCAATAAATTCATTAAAAATCCTACAATGTGATTTTCTGGGAAATTTTTTTTCATTTTGTCTGTCATAGTTGATGTGTACCTATGATGAAAATTGCAGGCCTCTCTCATCTTTTTAAGTGGGAGAACTTGCACAATTGGTGGCTTACTAAATACTTTTTTCCCCCACTGTATGTACATTAATCTGAATTATAACAAAGGTTTTAAATTAATGTGCTCCTGCTTTCTTCTCACTGTCTTATGTCTGTTATTGTTGTAGGCACATTGGCGTCCTATGCTTCCCAGCAGTAGCATTCCCCAGGATGAGAACTTCAGAAACCAGCTACCGACAGTCCAGGTTAGTATCAAATTGGATTTAAGCTTTTGTTTAGGTGTACTTTTGTGGCATTCACGTTTTGGCATTGATATTGATTTAAAAATGCACTTAACATTCCAATGCACAATCATTTCAACAGATTTCTCATATTTTACAGGTGCATAAAGAGACAATGGAAATTGTCAAAAAGAATGCGCTTATGGAGCGTGTCCCGCATATCCTCAACCATTTAAGTTCTCCAGCAGTGAGTCACCCTTCTCTTTACCTTATTGAAATTCTCTTAAGCATGCAATGTTTTACACTACAGTATAGTAAAATCACACTCCAGGAGAGGTAAGCTCTAGTAATTGTTTGACCAATGGCTAGTGTGCTCTTCAGTGTTTCACTTTTAACATTTAGACCGGAGTATGGTGTAATGGTGTATTTCTCTTTGTTGTTGCCCAGTATTGCACACTGTTCAAACCGGCAGATCCCCCTGTGCAATATGGTGGACCCCCAGGTGAGAATATGTCCTTGGCAGCCCCGGACGGACAGAGTGGAATGAACGGAGGAAGGCTAAGTGTGGAGAAGGATGTAGAAACGCTGTCTGGAGAGCCTGAAGTAGAGGAGATCACACCTATGGTAAGTGCCCACTTCCAGCTTTGGTGCATAGGTACACTTTACAACATTGTAACCAATATTTAAGGCTAATAATGACGTTTTCGTTTCAGACTACAGGAAGTTCAGGATTATAATTATTATGGTTGGATTTTAAATGTTAAAATATTCTATAGGAAATACATGTGCACGTAAGTCTCTAATTGGAGTTAGAGTGGCGTGGAATTGATTCCGACTGTATTTTGTTACCCCTATTATGTTCTCTGTAGATCACTCAGATCTTCAGTTTGGCTGACAGTGCAGGAACAAGTGGGATTGACCAGGACCATGAGCTGCTGAAGCTACTGGAGTCCCTGCGCAGCTCTGCACTCCCCACACTCTGGTTTGCCATAATGGTGGAGGGCCCGATGCTACAGCTACTGCAGTGCTCCAAGCTCTCCCACATGGTGGACACAACTGTGCAGATTGACCTGGGTTTCTGCTATCAGATCTGTGTACAGGGCCAGCAGCTGCTCCTCACCCACCCGCTGTATGAAGCTCACCCATCTGGCCTGACTTCTGTGCCCCAGGTGGTGAACCTGCTCCTGGATCTGGAGAAGTACAACGTGTGCCAGGGGGTCCCGGCCAAGGAGCAGCGATTCAGCCAGACTCCAATCATCATTGAGCGGGCATCGACCTGTGACTTTCTGGTACTTAAAGAAACAGAGCACTGTCCTAAGTGTAAGGCCTTATCCTGTAGCTATTAAGAACATTTGGTGCCGCAGGGTTACCAGCACTTAGCATGAGAAAACAAACAAGTGGCCACAGTACAAAGCATCACAGCTCTGCCCTCACAGAACATCTCATGTCTTTGCTGGGGATGGACAACCAGGACTGGTTTACACACATACCACTGGACTTTGTAACAATATTTGTTAAGAAATTTAGAAACAGGATGTTTTTATTGCCCATTTCGTAAGTCTATCTTACAAATAAATGTACAAATCATGAGGGTTTAAAGCCTGCTTTTTTGCAATAGCTTTTCAGGTTGATTGGGGCACTAGTACAGAATACAGATATTATAGTTTTCAGCTGCTCTCTGACACCCAATGTGAACCGTGTGGCCTGTTTATTTTTCTCCTGTTTAGTGCTCAATGTGGAAGGTCACAGTGCGTCCACATTTCCTCATGTAGATAAACCACTTATTATCTTGGTAACGTAAGCAACCTTCAAACAAGTTATTGACCATAAGCACATGAACATTGTTCGATTAGATCATTGATTTACATATTAATCAATATGTGAAACCAATGTCCCACATGAAGACCTAAATGGATGGGATTATCACATTCTGTCAACCGTTGGCTGATTTAACCCAATGTTGTTTTGAGAGCAGGGCTTCCAGAACCTCTTCTGGAGGGTGAGACAGTGCGTGATAATCCTTATGTGTCATCTTCCCATTGCACTGTCAGTCATCATCTGAAGAGAACCACAGCCGAATGGCTTGTTTGATTTGAGTTACATAGTCAGTGCTCATAGAGATTCTGTTAGGTCTCTACAGTGAGGTCTCTCTGTTCAAGATGTGGTCTCTTCAGATAGACACATCTGAAAAATACAGATGTGCTAAAATTGAAGCAGTAGTACTTAGTTCTCTGTACAGCTGTTTTCTAAAACATTTATTTTACATGAAAGTAAAATATGCATTAAAAAAAAGTAAACACTGCAATTATTCTATCATGATTTGAAAAAATCCATTCCTGAGTCTTATTGCCCCTTGTTTGACGTGTGTGAATTCTATTCCTATGGCTCTGGTCCTTCTTTTTACAGTCTATGTTCTGGTCAGTGTATTGATTTTTTTCTACTTTAGACAGTTATTCCATATGGTTTCTTTATAAGGTTTGTTATAATGGAGAAATATGCATTTGTAAAATGAGCAAATTCTGCTGATTTTAATAAAGCCTATTTAAAAAAAAAAAAAAAAGTAAGTGGTGGTTTATGATGTAAATATGGGAAGTATTTTAGCCAAACAAATGGCTGTGATTCATAAAAATAATTTATATTGTATAAAAGTCTAACACATTTTTTCAACAACAACAACAATCTTCAGGATAGGATTAATGTTTAAATGTCAGGGTACAACAGGAGGCCGGGAATGACCATACTGAAAGAAAAACTACCTCGAGGTCTTATAGCTCCAAGGCTATAGGCTATTTGGTTATTTTATAAGGCTAGAGCGCGTTACTAATTTACATATTAGGTGTGACCATGGTTTGTGAATTGAGCGAACAGTAATGTAGGACGACATGAGCGCGCCACGGCATTGGAAATATAGTCTTGCAAAACGCAGGTATTTATTTAATTCTAAAACATGACAGTTCAATTATACTAATATGATGTGACATGAAGCCTGCTTTTAAAAACATTATATATCTTATCCAAGTAGGACAACCTTTCCCGTGAAGACGGTTTCACGTTTGTTTGAGATGCGCATCGACGCTAGGGCGGATGGGGGTTGTAGACGCGCGAGAAAAGGGCAGCTGATGAATTTCAATTGGAGTATGGAGCCACATTGGATACGCAGAAGAACAATATCGGGAAATTATAGCGGATGGGCCATTGCTAGGCTACATTGTAACATTTTAGTCTTTGATCGGGCAGTCTCCCGTGGCTTTACAACATTGAACAGCACCATGGAGACCACCGAACACGTCAGTCATATTCTCAGGGATGTGGATTCTATAGGCTCTATGTACTCTTCGTTGTAACAGTATAGGGACGTGTACATCACAGAAAATATTATAGCCACAATCCTTGAGTTCATGGCACGTCTTCGTTAATTTGATATTCAAATCTTCATCATCACTGGGCTCCTTTTCAGGCAAGTAACCTTCTGCAATATAATTTTGTAGAATTACTTTATAGCAAAAACGTGCATTCAAAGTCTGTCCTGGCGTAATTAAGAAATGTGATATATGATGCCTTCATCAACCCTACTGTTTGTGTCCATCTGCGTAGGCTATTGCTGTTTTAGCCTGTTAAACCGGGCTTAATTGAATGGGGAGATGGCCATATGTCGCACGCTGTTAGAATTACAATAATTTTTAATCAGTGATATATTTTTTAAATAATTATACTATTTGACAACCTCACTACTGACACGGTAATGTATTTACATTTTAGTCATTTAGCAGACGCTCTTATCCAGAGCGACTTACAGTTAGTGAGTGCATACATTTTCATACTGGCCCCCCGTGGGAAACGAACCCACAACCCTGGCATTGCAAGCGCCATGGTCTACCAACTGAGCTGTATGGGACTATTTGTAGCGTTCCCACTGCGTTCTAATCCTGTCTCGCATGAAAAATCAAAATATCTGCCTATTTTGGTTTGTGATTAACTTACTTCTGGTTGTAGTTTACCCTACATTTTGACATTTCATCATGACACATTGATGAATTCCCATATCATGTTGGACACAGTCAATTGCCAGGAGATTTCAAAATATTATTCTGAATACTACAAAATTCTATGTTTGTAGGATTTCCTGACATATGGGAATGTATCATCTCCTCGAGCTGTTGCTGCATACATGCATAGGAGGATGATATGGAACATACATACACTACACAGTGCCCATCAATAGTTAATGCAGTTACAACCTAGAGGTTTTACTGCTTGTTCTCCGAAGCAATTATCTTGTAATCTGTCCCTGTTAGTGTCCTAAAACTATCCTACAGATTAAAATATGTATGTATTTTCTCAACTTTTAAAATGGTTACTTATGTTACTTTATGTTTATCATTTCAGCTTTAACAGTGGAGTTATTAGAGACAAGGTCTGTAAGGTGTGCATGTTCCCACACTCATTAACCAGCACTGGTATTAACACTATTATGAACACATTCTTGAACAAGGATATCTAGAGCTGCCAGGATCTCCCGGACAGTGCCTCAGGGTAATTCACTGCTGCTGCCGCTTTGATCTGTCTGGGAAACACTGCTGTTCTCATAAAGGGATTTTCTACATGGTTGCCAATGCAGTGGTATTTTTTGGTACTGATCACTTTAGAAGTGATATTTTTCGCATGGTCTTTGAGTTAATTGAGCATGACAATTAGAGGATGTTACAGTACATCAAGTAAAGTAAAAAATGGTCCAGAAATCAGTGGGTGGCAGACAGTAAACCTTTTTGAGTGCTTGTAATAATATAATAATAAAATGCCATTTAGCAGACACTTTTATCCAAAGCGACTTACAGTCATGCAGACATTTTTTGTGTATGGGTGGTCCCGGGGATCAAACCCACTACCCTGGCGTTACAAGCGCCGTGCTCTACCAGCTGAGCTACAGAGGACCAGGGGTAACATTTGTGCACACTGTTTTCTTGTAGCCCAAGTTAACTACAGCCAGTCATTCATTTGATTTATGAGTTACAGGTTGGTTTGGCCTTCATGTCATTGTTTCATATGAATTTCGGTATAATGATTATTCTACTTTTCTACAACCTGACCTTGTGTACTGTCAATTCCACTTCACGGCGTGGAAAGGGAGTTTGCAGACACAGGTGGAAACAAACATGATAGTTGTCTGTTATGCCAACGAGACACCATGTCCATGCCATTTATGTCCAACTGACAGGATTCGAGCAGCTGGCTTGATGTTCCATGAAAGTACCTATAAGCTGCCGTACATAAGGATCTAAACAAGGATCTCCTTGGGTCACACCCAAACTGACCCAGACTCAGCTGGATAGGTGAAAGTGCAGAAAGTGGTATACATTGTATCATACACATTGTGATATGTCAAGATTTTTGAACCAATATAAAGGGCTGGGGATTTCTAGGACAACATTTTTCACTGCAAGGATTTCTTTGTATTATAATTGTTTAACTCTGCATTGTTGGGAAGGGCTCGTAAGCAAGCATTTCACGGTAAAGTCTATACCCAATGTATTTGGTGCATGTGACAAATAACATATGATTTGATTTGGAATAGATACAGAGACCCTTCAGGTGTTACGGATCATGGGAAAACAGTATATTAATTATCTCCTGGGACACATTCCATTCTTTGTTCCATTCTCTTCTATCTTGAACCTACCAGATATCTAGTAGTGGGAGGAATCACTGGATTGCTTTCTCCTATACCGTTGTTTCAGATCGGCATAGGGGAGTGAGCCATCAAGGACAGAGGGAAGGGTTTCAAAATGGGAATACTGGGCTGGCCATAGGATTAGCCCCCATGTGCTAAACTGCTCTGGGCTGTGCTGAGAAGCATGTTATGATCAGTAGTTCAGGGAGGTACAGAGAGTGAGAAGAGATCATATTGGAAGGTCACCTGACCCTCCATAAGCCCTCCAACCCTCCATAAGCCCTCCACAGGGTCCAGCTGGTGGCTGGCTGTTCAGATGCAGCTTGTTGAATGAGAGGCAGACAGACTGTAATAAATCCTGAGGACTGTATTTACTTGAGTTAAAAAAAAATCCAAGCCTCACTCGCCCCCCAAATAAATGGCTTCCCTCCTTCTGCCTACTAAAAACATTGACTTTTAGTGCACCAGTTAGCTCTTTTTGACTTCATGTCTTTGTGATCTTCATTCTTTAGATTAGGAAACAATGATATTGTAGTGATAGAGGGAGAACAGCTAGAGCCAGAACAAGCAGATGCCTACTTTCTCTTACCTGCCCCTAACTCAGGCAAAACCAACTGGGACTTTTAGAGGGTAAGCAAATGAAAATGACTATAAAATTAACTAAACGGAAAATGTATTTTCGG